AACGACAAAAAGAGAAAAAAGAGAGAAAACAAAGAGTCAACCTGAAAAATTGAAAACAGGAAAAAATGGAAAGTCATGAATGTATTAAAAAAAAAATTACGGTTCAAAGAATATAAAACTTTTTTGGATTTTTTTTATTATTACTAGTGGCATGCCCGTACGATGTACCGGCTTCGGTATTTTTAAGGTAATGTTAGTGTATCAAATATTAATGGAAAGCTAAATTATTGTGAAAGTTCAATAAGTTTTTATATAACATAATAATTAGTAAAATTTTATAATGATAATATTCTAGTAAGATTTAAATGAAAAGTTTTTGGTAGCCAAAATTTTTTCCAAGGAAGAATTTAATGGGGACAATATTAATCTTTCTAAACTTGCTAACGTTTGTCAACTAATATTTGTGCTATATACCAAAATATTTATAGTACCCACTGAACAAAGAAGAAAGTTTAGTGGAAAATAAAAGAGCTAAAATATTATCTGATAATCATAATGCCAAGGAAATGCAAATGTAGATTTGACTTCTGCGCAGATAAGAGAATCTTTCAAGTTTTGAGCTTCACTAAATAAGAAAGAACGTTATTTTGAACACTAATAAAATAAACAGGGGATTGCTTCTAGGAAAAAAAAACTTCACAAATGAATAATAAATAGTGGATTGCCCAACAAGCAATAACAGATTCAAAGAGGAGGGCAACGCCCCTCATGGGGGTTCAGGGACAACACCCCTGGTGGGAACGACCTGCCCGATCAGGTCTCGAGGGTTCGGGGGCAGATCAACCTGCTTGGTCAGGTCGCGAGGGTCGAAAGAACAGCTCCCCTTGTGGGGGTTAGGGGGCAACGCCCCCGACGGGGATCGACCTAACCGGTCAGGTCGCGGGGGTCGAGATATAAATGATTTTTTTTTTTGTTATGTGTTTATCATATATTATTGTTTCCACCATGTAAAAAGAAAAAAAACACAAACAAAGGTCCGCACATGCTCCGCACTGTGCATAGTGAATACTGTGCAGAGCATTCACTCCGCACAGTGCGGAGTATCAACTTCGGATTATTTATTTATTTATTTTTGGATTTGTTTTTTTTGCTACATTGAAAAAAAAAAAAACATTCTTAAATTAATTCATATCCTTTTCATAGGCAAGCTCATTGCCATAGAAAACAACTTAATAGATTTACCGACCAATCACAATGGGATAAATAAAAAGTTTCACAAATGAACGGTAAACAGTGAGTTACCTATTTTAATATAGTAGAGATAGGGATATAAACGGTGGGTTAACTGGGAGAGTAAGGAAATTGTAGAAAGTCAACAATTGTGGGCATGTGTTAGGAAGAAGTCCAAATCACCCTTAAGCCTTATGTGAATAGCAGAGGATGGATAGGGATGAATTGAGACTAAAAAAACCTTCAAGAATGAACAGTAATCGGCAGATCCACTCTTTTAATATAGTAGAGATAAATATGATACATATACTAAAAACTTTTTGGGGGCACTAATCAAGATGAGGTCTTAGACGATCGTCTATCTTGTCTATGCTCAGGGCCGGCACTACAGCTATTGAAAATTTTTCTATTTACACATTAAAATCATCAATTAACCCCTAAAAATTCCAACAGATTCTCGTAACGGCAGAATATATTCTCGTGTGAGGGATATGAGACATGGGTATCTTTTTTATGAGAGAGTGAGGCCTCTTGTCCCCAAATCCTTCAAACGAATGAATCGATATTGGAAAGGTGGTGGCACCAACTACACTACCCTACCCTACCCATAAATTAAAACATTAGTAATTGTTTTCAGCCATTTCGTAAAGTGGGAGATTGACTACTTCCATTCAGATAGGGGCTCCATATAAATTTTAGAATCTATACGAGTGCACTCATTCATCAACAGTATTTTACGCGTTCTCGCGCATCTAATCGTTCAATTATTTATTATTATTAGTATAAATTTATTTCTGTAACTCAAGTGATTACTCGTATTATGGAAGTTCTAGAACTTCCATGGACCTATCGAACATACGCTTTGAAAAAATTCCAAACCAAGGCATTTTTTTGAGACTTCACGTCGCCATTTTCTTGAAACTTAGGTAATTCATTTACTGCCTTCGTTACTCCGATTGATGGATGTATCAAAATTCTTATTATTAATTGGTACTTAGATTGAACTAAAGTAACTGAGCCAAGAATATCCAATGTGATATACGAAAATGGAGTGGCATATTCTAGTACTTCATCAATTTGAGGAGCAAAAACACAAATGGGCACGTGTTCGCGTGTTGTGTAAGAGCAAAAACACAAATGGGCACGTGTTCGCGGGGTGTGTAAGGGCTGGGCTCGTGTTCGCGGGTTGTGTAAGGGCTGGAAGGCATATTGTTATCTTCCAAAAAAGGCTACGTTGGACACCTAATAACGATTACGAGTCTTACAAATAATTTGCAAAGTTATGTATTCTGAATGATGAATCTATGAATTTTGCTATAATCGCACTTGAACAGAAAGAGAATAAAGTCTAGAGAAGAATCTTCGGTTGATGAGCAAAAGTTGACAAAGTAGGAAGTACTGATCTAAGCTTGTTCTCCGGGACAACCAACCAAGTCCAGTCCAATCAAGATTTCATGTCTACAAATGAAATCAAACGGTATATGACAAGACACGTGGCCGACATGAATGTCAGCAAAACCTACCATCAAACCTTAGAAAAGGAAGGCGAAGACTCTATAAAACTAAGTGGGAGAAACTATAATGAATGATGAGAAATGTGCAGTATGGGATCTTTCTATCTGGTCCCACCAAACCCTTTTTTCAAATAATGGTAGGGCCAGTTGGAGGACTCACACCCACTTGCTTTGCTTCATTGCATGCTACTATGTACGAAAGAGTTCCAATCATATACAGAGCACAAAGAACTAGTGTGTGTGTGTTTTTGTACAGTTATGAGTTATATATAACAATATTATTTGCTTTTTCCAATTTTCAAGTAGTTCATCATGATTCTTTTGATTTGCATTACTTTATATTTTGACTAGGAGCATATTTACACTAGTCATCTTTCCATATGTCTCAATGCAGGTATGGTTATTAATTTCTTCCTATATGTTGCTTCTCTCTCATTCCTTTCTTTTTGCGCATGTCTATCTACATGCAATTGATAACTGTGCTTCTTTTTTCTAAGTTGTGTATATATTCGAATCGCAAGTTCAACGATTCCATGAAGTTCAGACATGGATGATTCGTGATCACGAAGCGATGAAGTCTTGATTTTAATCATGGCCATTGGCTTAATTTCCTCAAATATAAAATAGTTTTTACTTGAAGTTGTGGTGGGATAGTTAACAGCATTCAGCTGCTTTTGGGGTAAGTTTTGATTCCTCTATCATATATTTAATGGTGTTATGGATCCCACTGTTTAAAGAACATATCTGTACTAGGAAGAGACTTTGGGGTGTGTTATTATTGTTATATGTCAGTATAGCTTAAATATGCTATACCTATTATAAGGGGTAGTGGCACATAGAGCTTTCATAAGTTGTCACCAATTTTTCCATTTGTTCATATCCATGGAGTTGGGATCCCCAAAAAGTAACTTGCCAAGCTAGCTACCTTTGTTTTTTTATTCTTTTCCCTATTCAAGGATAGCAATTAAATTCAAGATTTTATTTCTAATAGAAAAAAGAACAATGATTTTGCACCATATATATAATAGCCTTAGGATTTCAATCAGTCTCTCTCTCAAAGCAAGGGTCACTAATTCAAGATTCCAGGCACCTATGCAGTTAAAGGGGGTGCTTAATATGAAACTTTCTTGAATTAAAATCTTAGATGTTCAGTCGTCGAGCATATGACACGTGCACATAGAATGTGTTTGTGGTGCATAATGAAATTCCATAAGAATGTCCTTTTTCCTAGTTAGTAATATGAATGAATGTCTTTCTTTCCTATATTGCTTAACTTTTCAGTGATGCGTGTTAAACTTACTTTTTCTTTATAAACTTCTTCCTTTTAAGTTAGTGCATGCCAAGGAGTACGTACTTTGTGCCCAATTGATTTTTGGTGGCTTTAACTGCCAAGAATATATATTTACACGCTTTTAGCAGTACTTTTTATGAAGGTAGGAAAGGCACCCCAGAATATACTATCCAAAATCTCTCCATCTTAACACCATGTTTGGCTTGGTTGGATTACACAATGGACGGTATTGACGGAGAAAAGGAGGCGGAAAAATGATCTTGTCCACATATCGTCGAGTCTTGTCCAATACTACTTATCATCATCCATTCCTTAATTGTCTTACAGCAATCGCTCAAAGTGCATTACAGCGGAAAGGTTTTACTTTCCCTATTCCTTTAGGGGGAGAGAATTCCCTTCATATCTGAACGTCATTTAGAGCTATATAAAGGAACCTGGGAATATGAAGGGATCTTTATTCCATGACTATATGTCCAATACTAACTTACAGTGAGCTAAGGACAAAACCCCTCCCTATATGTCAATCAAACAGTGATTAGTTGTATGTATATGCAGTAGCCTTGTGATTGGATTTTCTTTATTTCTTGATCCATTTTAACAGTCTTTTAATTAGCCCTTTTCTTTTCCTCATGTCAATTTAATTAATCCTCAAATATGATTTTTATGTAGCTGTAATTCTTCTTTCTGCGAGCAGCAGTCTTCTACTTAGCTTGCATATTGAAATCCCTGCAACACTTTTCATTCCCCCTTTTAAACACATTCTATTTACTAGTGTGTACAACTCTTAGCTTCTGCAAATCTTTCACTCTCATCCTAACCTAAGGCAAGAAATTCACACAACAATAAAGCTAGAATATTGTTGTTCTTCTCCTATTTTATAAGCTAAGTTACTAATTCTTTTCTGCAGCTTCATGAACAATAGATCACAAATTAATTTCTCTCTGAAATTAATAGGAAAAGGTACATCTCAGTTCTATGAAAAGTAGAGCAAAAATCTAACCTACTCGGACAGAATTATCACAAAAATGAAGTTTATGAAACTTGGAACAAGGCTTGACACCTTCTACACAGAGGAGTCCACCAGGTACAAGAACTGCCTTAATTTAAATTAAATTTATTTTATAAGATCAATTTGCTTGTACCTTGATGTTAACTTTGTTTTGAAATTTGCAGGACAGTGATATCTGATGTACCAAGTGACCTCACAATTAGAGTAAATGATATTATTTATCTTCTTCATAAGGTATGATTTGAGGTTAATTATCATCTACCAAAACTAAAATTTCGGAAAATACATAATTGCCAGTGCACTAAATCATTCTAGCAGACAAATTTCCTTTTAAGAAAATAATATGCTAAAATAATCACTGAATATGAAGAAATTAATGTGCACACACCTTCTCCCTTTCTTGTCAAATAGTCGCTGCTTTTCCATTAAGGCAGTACTGAGGAATATCCCTATCTTTAGACAAAATCACTCAGATCTTTCCTCATTCTGTTGTGAACTGTAGTATCCTCTTCTTCCAAAGAGTGGCCTACTACAACAGCTTTGCTCAGAGTCGGAAGAAGAAGATTCTAGCAACATCACCCTGGAGCTGCAAGATTTTCCTGGAGGAGAAGAGGCTTTTGACCTGTGTGCAAAGTTTTGCTATGGGATCACGATAAATATCAGTGCACATAATTTTGTACCTGCTTTTTGTGCCTCCAAGTTTCTTGAAATGACTGAAGTAGTTGAAAAGACGAACTTTGTCACGAGATTGGAAGTTTTCTTCTCATCTTGCATTCTAGAAGGTTGGAAGGACTCCATCGTCACACTGCAAAACACTGGAAGATTGCTTGAGTGGTCAGAAAAACTTGGGATAGTCAGAAGGTGCATTGAATCCATTGTTGAAAAGATACTGACACCTCCACCGAAGGTTAGACATACTAGATACTATAATTAAATCCATGTTTTACTGAACCATTTAAGTTTAATACGGAGAAAGACCACTTGCAGGTTACATGGTCTTATACCTACACTAGACCGGGGTATGAAAAAAGGCACCATCAAACGGTTCCAAAGGATTGGTGGACAGAGGACATATCTTTCCTTGACATAGACATATTCAGATGTATAGTTACTGCAATTAGGTCTACAAATGTGCTGCCACCGCAGCTTATTGGAGAAGCTCTGCATGTGTATACGTGTCGTTGGCTACCAGACATCACAAAAAGTAGGCCTAGAGAGAGCTCAACTTCTCAAGCAGAAAATTGTTTAGACAGAAAAGAGAAAATTCTAGAGACCATCGTGAACCTGATTCCAGCGGATAAAGGATCTGTCTCAATTCGATTCATGATAAGACTCCTTGGCCTTGCGAACTTTCTTGGGGCATCTCCTGTGACAAAGGCAGAACTCACTAGACGATCAGGCATGCAATTTGAGGAGGCAACATTGAATGACCTGCTGCTTCCTGCTCAATCGTCTAATGATCACAATACTTCTTATGACATTGATTTGGTTAAGACAGTATTGGAGAGTTTCTTGAGGCACTGGAAAAGACAAACTCCTACTGATGAAAACCAGTCAATAAGATTAATTAGAAAAGCTGGAAAGCTCATTGATTCTTATCTGCAAGTGGTGGCAAAGGATGCCTGCATGCCAGTTCAGAAAGTGGCATCTCTTGCTGAAGCTTTGCCAAGTATTGCAAGGCCTGTACATGATGATCTATACAAGGCAATTAACATTTATCTCAAGGTAGGGTATTATAGTTGAGTGACACAGAAATAAATAAATAAACATGATCCAGAATTGTATTCACCATAACTCTATTCTTTGAGATCTACTGGCTGTTGATTATCAGTATTGCTAACTCAACATCAAATTTAACGTTTCTGAGTAATTACTTGATATGTTTTCCATGTCTTCAGAATTTTCATAACAATAGTATAATGTTCATTTCTTCTCATTTGCATTTATTTACTGGATGCTAGGAGCATCCAGATCTTACTAAAGCGGACAGAAAGCAGCTCTGCCACGTTCTAGATTGCCAGAAATTGTCACCGGAGGTATGTGCCCATGCTGTGAAGAACGAGCGCCTCCCATTGAGAACGGTGGTGCAAGTTCTCTTCTTTGAACAAGAGAAATCCAACAGGGCAACAAGTAGACAACTCCCATCTCTTGAGAAATTGCAAGGAAGGCAACAAACATCAGAGATCAGAGAAGACGTAAGCAAATTAACCCTGGGTTCAGATGAGAAGCCCAGTAAAGCAAAGGGTAACAGAAGTTCAACACCTAGCACCAGTGGACTTCATCAGAGATCTGATGGAAAGCTGCAACTAAAACCTGAACCAAGCTTCAAAAGAAGAGGTACAGGAACAGAAATGGTCAAGGGGAAGGACATTGTAGAAGAAGAAATTCTAGGAAGACAGCTGAGTCACCACGAGAAAGCTCAAGTCAGAAGAGTATCGGAGCAGACTTATAGCAAAGGAAGAGAGAGATAGCCCGTAAGATTCAGTATATTACACTGTAACTTCCTTGGATTTTTTATGGGCGTGAATTTGTGCATATATCCTCTGCCCGGTAAAGTACATATAAGATATCAAGAGAAAACATGTTACCAGCATGATTCGTACAAAGTTCTTAAGAATTTCTGGCAATTTTACTTGTAACTGCAACCTTTCAGCAATCAATTTACTTTCATCAATTGCTCTTGTGCACCAGAGATTTTATCCCTGCTCAACTTACAACTAATCAAGTTGCATTCAAAAATTTCCTCCAACAGATACATCTGAATAACAATAGAAGTTTCCATGTAAGAATGAAATTTGAATTATTCTTCCCACAAAGAGACTTATACAACAGACAAAAAAATAAAAATAAAAATACAAAAGAAATAATCTGGTGACAACTTAGTACAGTTTTTACTTTTGGCTATATAACCATTCACTTAATATTATACTACAATGACAATTAGTTATATGTATAACATGCTGCTAGTAAATCATTGAATCCTATGCAAGGATAAAGAGAACATGTTTCCTCATATTCTTCTGAATTTCTACAGAAAACACAGCATTATCATTAAATGGCTTGTTACTTCAGGTCGTGGCCAGAGACGAGGATGCCAGTTTCATATACACAGGAAATTACAAAGAGTAATCGTTTCCCTTCTCGAGCAAAAGCAGGTAGTCAGAACCTTCGAAATTTCATTATTCATGTGCTCCAGTCCATTTCCAACAAACATCTCTAAAAATTACTTCAGCCTCCTTTTTCTATATTTCAAGGTTTTACAGTACAATATGTACTAGTCCAGCCTGCAAAATGTACAGTCTCTTCTGTCTGGCTCAATGGGTCATAATCATAGGGATTACCAGCCTTCACAGGGATTACCAGCCTTCACAAAACTCCCTTTCACAGGCTTCCTGATGTCAGTCATCACCTTGCGTGAAGTATATTTTAGGGTGCGTTTGAGCCACATTATTTTAGAAGAATGTATTTTGGAATAGTAGATTGATAGAGAATGTGTAGTTGAAAAGAAATGAAAAATTATTGATGTGATGAAAAATATTATTTTATTGAAAACGTGTTGTTGAAATTGAGTAGATCAATGATAATGAAAATTTTAATGTAAATCAAACAGGGGCTTATTCTTTTATCAAACCTGTTGGGAAGTAAACAATTGTAATACTTTTAGTGACATTAAAAAAGGTCTACAAGTCTTACATCAACTTAATGAGTGACAAAGGCCATAGGAGCAGGGATGGATTTGGGGTGTGGGGTTAGAAAAAAAAAATCATGTAAAATTTTTTTTTTTTTTACGTATTAGCTCGGCCTGTAATCCGGTCCTGGATCAGTCCCTGCATAGGAGAGTTGGTGTTGCATCGTAATATCCACAAAGAAAAATATACTTCCAAATTCAATTAGAAAACAGCTCTAGTTAACAAATTATATATGTTTAGAGACAAATTTTTAATGTATGTTTTCTCTCCGTGCAACAAAGAAAGAACATTAAAACTATCCTTCATATTACTTGCGTGATTTCTTTTTCTCCCTATACCGTAAGATTGCACAATCCCTGCTGGTGATTTCACCTGACTTTCAGGGCAGGGGAAATGCCGTGGAGGTTCACCCATGTAAGGTCCCAAAATGTTGGATATTTTCAACATATATGAAGTCACACGTTGTATATTAAAATGTGTGGTGCTATTATTTAAAGAATATTAGTCAATTAAAGTGAACCATTAAAGATATATTGTGACTAATGAGTATTAGGTTTCATGAAATTATAGTGTAGAGACCGGAGTGTTGTTTTAAATTGATTAGGGGTCAATTAGAAGCAACTGAAAGATAGTGACTATTGAGAAACTACTATTATTTTATATGGGTATGGTCCCCATTTGTAGTAGTTCTTCGAGATTCTCTACATCACCATCACTAGAGAGCGATAACCTAAAG